AGCAAATGTGAGATCTACACCGATCACAAGAGTCTCAAATACTTCTTTACCCAAAAGGAGTTGAATATGAGACAGCGACGGTGGTTAGAATTAGTGAAGGATTATGATTGCACTATCTTGTACCATCCAGGTAAGGCTAATGTAGTCGCTGATGCGTTGAGTAGAAAAAACTTTGGACAATTTTCAGCACTGTGTACATGGTAGGATTATTTAATTAGAGATTTTGAGAACCTGAGAATTGAAGTAGGGAAAGCAGTTTTACCAACCATGATCGTAGTTGGATACTTTAGATGAGATGTATACTTTCATGGCTTCTGTTCCTTATGAAATTACTTTTGGGCATACCCCTTTATTTCTTTACTTTGTCTTCTCGTAGGGCTTCAAAAGCCTCTACTAACTTAGGCAACCTCCAGTCTTCAAACATAAATTCTCCTAGGAGACCACTCAAGGATCATATTTTTCAACAAGCCACAGATCGGAGACGAGGTGTTGTTGAGCTCTGATACTCACGCTTTCCCAATTTGTTTATCTAAATACTGTGCAATCTTTGCTACCTATCTCCATTATATTAAGAGAGAAATATCTTATGATGAGATTTTGACAGTATAATATTATTTTTTTGAGCCCATGAATTATGTTTGCCTCTTCCTTCCTCATGAGTAAACAAGGGTAACTTGGGAAGAAAAAAAAGGTTCCTGCACTAGGACTATCGAGAAATGATTCACCCTGAACATAGTAAATTAGGGTTTGACGAAGTTTCTTCGAGACATGGACATTGGTGATGCAGGATCATATGGTCTGTTTACTCTAAGCAGTGGTAAAAGCTTTGTTGAGTTTGGTTTTTTTTTATGCTGCATAGTAGAGATGATGCAAAGTTATGTATCTATTTCCAGTCTACTTGACAACTCTGCAAACTCTAACTGTAATAGGTTTAACAGAGGCATGACATTCTGTTTGCTATTTGTCTGTTTCTCTTGGATATTTTGTCTATTGCTTGTTGACTCAAAACTTTGATGTGGTGCGTTACCATTAAATTTTAATTAAACAACCAGAAGGATCATCCATATAAGGAGAATTCAACAAAGATTGGAAAAAAGTTGATGAAAGTCTACCAGTTGCTCTGTTTTACTTTCACGTGGATAAAAAACAATAAACACAATGTTTAATCCTTTATTTACTTTTCTAGGATCTGCATCTAGCATTTGTGATCTTCATAGAATACATATTTGATGTTGTTCATAAAGTAGCACATTGTGTTCTATCACCAACAGACACCTTCAGAGGATTGTTGAGATGGCTTTCTCATAATAGTGATGGTCATAGAGACGTTCCTGCTGATTGTGTGGGAACCTGTCTCCACGTCCGTTCTCTCAGATAATGACCCATCTCCTGCTGAAATAATCACTTTTAACAATTCCCTCAACACAATTGCTCAGACATGTCAAGATGTCATGATAGAGCACAGGTAAGTAGACTCTATTTTCCACAATTTGAAAATTTTGGGGCGATTTCAGTTGGTCGTCCCTATTCAGAGATAAATAGAATTCTAAGGTAGGTTACGGCAAATGCATTCAAAATAAATAACTGAGCTAGTAGTAGCAAATGCATTCAGAAAGCCCCCCGTCTCTCTTCTATCATGCGCGCGTGCACACACACACACACACACACGCTCTCTATCTCTCTCTCTCTCTCTCTCTCTCTCTCTCTCTCTCTTTCTCCACACACACTAGTTTTATTTATTTATGTGTTCAACAGATCTCAATTTAATTTTTTGAATTTTTAATCGTTCAGGTACCCTCATGAAGCTATTCAAGTGGTTACTATAAATGGATATATTCTTCTATTGGAAAGGATTCCGAGGTGTGTGGTAGTTGTAATCCGTTATATTTTTTTGCTTTTATAATAATGGTTTCTAAAATCATAATTCTGAATATTTAGCTTTCACAATGCAAAATTAAGAAAAAATTGGTTATGAATGGCTTGCTGATGTTTGTAGTCCAATGTTGCAGGCACAATGCACAAAAGGTTGTTTATCTGCAATATGGAATATTAGATTCATCTATAGGGTGAGTCATACTTTTGGCGAGTTGTTGTCACTAAGGCTTATGCAAAATATGTTTCTCTATCCTGTTGTACTTTATACTTCAGTTAACCATCCAACATTATCAGAGTTATATATGACAAATGATATACTCTATTGCAAAGAAATTGTCATGTTCTATTCTGACTTGATTTTTGTTGTACTTCAAAATTGTTAGCTGTTTTCCTCCTAGTTATTTTCACCTTCATTTCACTTATTGGACTTATTAAAGATTTATAGGTTCTTATTTTTAAGAGATGCTAGTGTTTACAGAACTCTTTTGTGAATTAATGGAGCTTGGCCATAGTTCTTCTTGATCTGGCTTTCAATGTAACAAACCAAGTGGTTGGAATAGATACAACTATATTTTATTATTTCGTATTCCTTTCTGCACTGCATGTTTACTAAATGATGAACATATTAGTTTGCTAAATTAGTATTCTTGTTAGTTTCAAATTGCTTCTATTTGGTTTATGATATTTATGAATTATTATCTCCCTCCTTTAAATTGGATTAGCGGTGTTATGTTTCTGTAATTATGACTATGATATCCTTGAATTTAAAAAAAATTAGAATGCTCTATATGCACACCAAATGAAGGCATAAAGAAAAAGGAATGGGCAAATCATCTTGATTCCAAAGCATTAAAAGGGTTGTCAGGGTATATGGTGACATGAGAGTGATCAACGAAGAATACTAGTTATTGGGGTTTGCTTTTATGAAATTTAGTTTCTAAAATTTTGGTAATGAGTAGACAACTTGCGGACAATGTAAACGTTTCTTGAATATTGTTGATAATCGTTAATTGTTTCTGGTGTTGATGGGCGTGTTCTTGTAATTATCACCATCAATATAATCAGCTTCAGTATTACCAAATTAGCACTTCTAACTTTTTAATGGAGTTCTATTTTCTCGAGAACATTTTCTACTATTTCTAGTTTGTGGTGGTGTTGCGGGTTGAGGTGTAAGAAACTTGTTAGTGATCCCATTCCCCTCGTGCTAAGCTTCTTATTTGGAACATGCACTTTGAGATTCTATCCCAACCTGTTTTCTGGTACATCACCTTTTCATACCATTCTTGCTTCTAATAATCTTTCTATTTTGTTCATACCAAAGATGATAAGCAAACTGGGTATTACCTTACACAATAAAATAACACTTACTGGATTTAGAATTTAGCATATTTCTATCTATACACCTTCAAATAAGAAAGATTTACCTCTTTCCGCTTTAAACCTCTTTGGCATTCTGCAATTGTATGGTGCTGAAGGCCCTCTAATGATCAAATGACAAATGACCATTTTGTCAGTTGCCTCAGCCCACGACATCTTTTGAAGTCTTGAATGTAATCTCATGCTCATCGAATGTTTTCAAAGGTTCCTTTCATTCTTCCAACTATAAGGTGTCCCCAAAACAGTTTCCCCATCCTTGTCCCATTATAATTAGTAATTATAATAATGCTTAAACCTATTGTCCTATGTTACCGTACTGAATACACTCATTTTGGTTGCTCCTAACTTAGCATCCTTTTTTCCAGCTTTCTACATCCACACTCATTTTTTCCGTATGCTGCTGAATAAGTTGACTCGTGACTTCCACAACTTACCGGCAGTTGGGGGATTGGTACGGATGCTTATGAGTTACGTTGTTGGTGGGGACAGTTCAAACTGGGTTGGGGTATTGGGGTTATCACACTATAATATGAATGACATGCCGGGTGTAGCATTTCGTGTGGCACTCCATCTGGCAAAAATCAAGCACGTGAAGAAGTTTCTCATGTTCAATTATGGGAGTGCAGCTGCCAACATGGAAGTGTATGGTTCTCCCAAGCCATTGGACTTGGGGGAATACTAAGTTGATGAAAGGTGCACGAGTGGGGGCTTCATAAAATGAGTTTGAGTACACACACTTGGATTTTACATTCTCACATCGCGAAGAATTGTTGGCCTATGTTGTGTCACGTCTACTATTGGTTGGTTCCTCTTCACAGCAGATATATGGGCAAAAATATCTCAAGTTTAAATGGATGGGAATCACAGAAAATGCCTAAAACCCGGCTTTTTAGGAGTTCTTCAGGATACTTTCTGTATGACAAGGGCCTGTTTATTGTTTTGTTTAGACCGAAAAATGTTTTGTATCTTGTGATATAGAGATGTTGTATGAAGATAGTGTTGAAAGGAAATAGTTATTGCGAACTTAAGAAGAATGTTGCAATTGTGAAAGGCTGTATGTATGTATCTTCAAGTTCAACTGTCGATAGGTTCACCAATGTATTTTCTATGTGTTAACTTGGAGTAGGTTACCACACACTATACTACATTACAGTGCAAAATAGTGCTCTATTGTAATGGAATTGTTAACTTATTGAGGATCACAATAGTTTACCTATCTTGGTGCTGGAAGTGTGCTTTAGATCTCGTGTCTGTATTGAAGGCATATTTATTTCTCTTCGATCTAAGGTGAACTCAGAGATCTAGTGCATGGAGGTTTCAATTGAAGGCAACTGTGAGTTTACACATTCTCTCATCCCTTAATCTATTTTGGAAAAGGTCGATTCAACTTGATTAGAATTGAATACTTCATTGCGGAGTGATTTGATTGTTGAAAGAAGAAAAAGAATAGGGAGAGCCATTGTGAGATATTTTGAAGTAATGAGTTGTGTATGAGCATTCAAAGTCAAGAATGAAATGCTTTAGATGATGGCATAGCTTAGTCTTTACCTTATTAGTTCTTGCATCTTAAATTTGTTTTTACCTGCAAGCAAGCATAGCGGTGCACATAGATGAGACATGTTTATATTGATTTATGATTATGACAAGACAATTATACATGTAAAAGACGTCACTTCATTACATTCTAAGGTTTTTCTATTTATTATGTGATTTTTGAGACAATTGGTGTTCTTAAGCCCCTATTTGATGCCAAAAGTCTTTTTTCTGTTTGATCCACATTATTTTTTTCATTCTCATTCTTCTAATCATTTTCAACCACACATTTTTCAATAAAATAATATTTTCCATCACATCAATAACTTTTCCTTCTTTTTCAACCATATATTTTCCATCACATTACTTCAAAAAAATACATTCCCTCATTTTAATGTGCCCCAAACGGGCTCTATTATAAGTTGGTGGGTTCTATAAAATGTCAGTTAGAATGTGGATGGAGTTGTGATTTCTGAAATGTGATTAAAAGGAAGTTTGATAGTCTTATAATATTAAAATAAACTTTATTAAATAGGGGCTAAATTGGTTCAACCATGCTACACTGACCGAAAATGGTTGACATGCAATATGACCGAACACTCACAATAGGGGGGGATGACGCACTTTTTTTTTGGAATTTTTTATTAACGCAAGGCCCGCACGCATGTGAGAGGCTGTCAACGCCTCTATCACCCATTTTTGGGCAGGGAAGCTTAATTCAAATTGGTTTTAAAATGTCACTGTTCACAGTTCAAAAAATCCAAAAATACTAGCCTCTACTTATAAAGAATTTATATAACGATTTAGTATATAAAATAAGTGAATAGTACTTTAAAATGTGTAATTAAAAATGAAGTTTGATCTATCTAGCTCTGATACTAGATGTTGGGAATAAGTAGCCTAATGTGGACATCAATACACACATAAACAAGTTCAACAGCTCAGTAAACCAATGACAGAGTTCAATACCAATCCCAGAATCACCAGTATACAATATGCAATACAAACCTCTTTAAGCATAGCATAAAGTATCAACAGAATTCAATATGTGTAATCAAACATATACCAATGCATTTACAGATTACAGAAATCAGCATGATACAATCAAACCATATAAACTGAAAATGAAAACTTAATAGAATCTGAAATCATAAAATGACAGAGTAAAAACCGAGAGCAAGACTTAGAACAAAACCGAGAGGAACTTCCCTTTTACTGGACGAAATGTTTAGGCTCAGGAACAACCTTCCATGCTATTATGCAAATCACCGTCCAGAGAGAGCTAGAGAATCGGCCATAGCCACTTCACACTTGGCTTGGATCATCAACCAAGAGGTCTACCAAAACCACCAAGAATCTGCCCTTAAACTGACCAAAAATCGCCGAGAAACACCAACATCACTTACCCACTATTTCAAGCCTAAGTATACAAGGGTTTCTTCAATTAGATGGGCTAAGGATCAATTTAGGACCAAGAAAAAAGGAAGCCCGAAGAAAACGGAACCAACAGAGAAGAGAAAGAGGGTCTTGCTTGTGAAGAGAGAGAAAAGTCTTGTCTTAGAAAACTAGTCGTACGCCCGTGCAATGCACGTGCTGTGTTATTTTTTAAGGTAATATTAGAGTGTCTAGCGTTAACAATTGATGTGAAATATGTGTATTAGATTAAATCAGCAGAAGGAACTTAATTTGATGAGATAAAGTTACATATATTAATGTAACAAATAAAATGCAGTAATGATGCATATGGAAAGCATGAGGAAATAAAGTAAACGTTAAAAAAAGACACAAAAATAGTTAGCAAACAAGATTTAAGTGTATAAAGGGACCTAAACAATGCGCCATCATTTTCCATAAGTGTAAAAGTGATATTAGTCATCTCGACTTTTTAGCCCAATTGAACAAAACTTGACGTGTCTTTTGTGCATTACTCGCTTGTCCTGTTTGTTCCATGCTTTAAGAAGATGAATGGCACATCCTGAAACAAAAGGCCTAAATCTATTAAAAACACGTTGCCATAGAAACATAATAAAACATTCTTTATGCAATTAAACTGAAGATATTTGTTATGGTGGAGGAAACGGAGATTCCATAAAACTAAAAAACCAGTAACATTTAAGCAAAATTAATGTTAAATTGACGTGAATCTAGGGTGAAACAAAGGATAATTTTTGTGAATAACCTACAAATCAACATAGAATTCTTTTCACAGTTCGTCAAATTAATATACCACTTAAAAGTTAATACATAATTAAATTCTAGCCAAATCAATACAGATTTTGGGGGAAGCACATATGCACCAGAGGCTGCAGAAGAAATGACAGCAGAAACAGGAATAAAACCAGCAGAATGATGAAACAAAGCAGGAAAGAAAATAGAATTGGTAACAGGAAGAAATCCTTCCTCAAGCCTCTTTATTAACCAAGACGACTTTACATTCAATTACATTGAATCAATCATCATTTCAGGTGATCCACCATACAAAATGAGAACATTACAGAAAGATTTTTGCCAGATTGATTTTCCCATAAAATTACCCTTTCTCACAACCTCACTTTCTATCTGAGTTTCTACAGTTCCAGAGCTCCTTTACCAGAGCTCCTCCTTTATTAGTATTTTCGAGCTCCGCATTTGCATCTTTCGAGCTCTTTTTCAGGAGCTTTTTTTCTTATCTCGAGCTCACTTTTTCTCCTATCTAAGGCTCCTATTTATAGACCGAAATGGAGCATCTAATCAGTTAAAAACTAACCAACTAACATAGGCTCCAATTGGTTATAGATTCTAACCAAAAAAACAGAAAACAAGACACAAGAAATAGGCTCCTGTTTCAACAGATTTCTGATTGGCTAAGGTTGTCCAATTCTTCTTCAAGTATCAATTTTTCTTACAATTGATCATCATGATTCAAAAACAGGTTCTATCATTCATCTGTATACAAGTTCTTTTGTAAAAAAAAAAATATTTCTTCTATTTCTTTCTTAAAGGAGAGCTCCTTGTAAGTGAAGAATTCAACCGAAAGGGAGATTTCAAACTTTCAAAGGAGCTTTGCTTCAACAACTTCAAGAAGAAGGTGCAGATACTGACTTACAAGGACTTCACATGTTGTGATTATATGAACTAATGGGATTCATCAATTAGCAAATATAATATGGCCAAACTTGTAGTATCATGTAACTGAAAACAAGAAGCTCAAATGAACACAAAAATGAAAAATGAAGAAAATTGTTGAATGATGCTTGCAAATACAGAGAACGGGATTTTTTGCCCTGATTTGGTATCCCTTCAAAATGGAGTTGGAGAAGTAAGTGACATGGAGAAAATTACATAGTATTGCAAACTGATGTGACATGGAGACTTCTATTGTCTTCTGCACCAACTTTACTGTTTCACTAATCCATGGGTACACAAAAACAAAGTGCAAATTTGAAAAACATCCATTAACAGTCACAGATTAAGAAAAATCTTGTTGATGAGATCTTGTTGTTGACCAAAAGTGAACACTAATTTCACAAACTACCAACGGAAAAGTTCAGTTGTACTCCCGTGTGCACTTATATGCTGCCCTGTTCTTAGAGTTACTTCTGTTTCAGGCATTTTACTTTTATATCTAACTTTAATTTTAATCTAGCCCTCTCTTTTATTGTCTTCTTAGGTCTCTTGGTTCCACTTGGTCAAATTATTCAAGACCATACTGCTCTTTCTTTCTTCAGTTTCTCCCCCAAGTCAACAAATTTCCTAATTTAGTCCAACTTATCTTCCGCCAGTTACATTATCTTTCTGCATTAAGTGGTAACTGAGCACACAAATATTTGAAATCACAAGAAAGTATGCTTAGTATTTATACTTTTTCTTCATCTACATGATTATTACTGACTAAAAATTAACCATACACCTGAACCAAACAAACAGCTTCTTATTCAGTTTAATGTCTTTGGACATTCTTCCATAATAACTGATTTATGTGGCAATCGAAGTTTACTTTATAACCTCCGCCATGTCATAATGGCTCTAAGTGACAACGGAGAGCACAATGGCAAATAAGTACATAGAAATAGCAACACAATCACATAAAGAAGCCAATTTCTCCAAAAGGAACTAAAAGCTTAGTTTACCTAAGTATGCATATCTCTAATTTTGTATTTGTCAAGGGGA